CAACGACAAACCACTTTGCTCCTCCTTCCCCGCCTCTCCAACACTTCTTCAGTTGTCCTGGTGGCGCTGGAGGCCTTGGTGTGTCATATAGTTATAGCCTTTTGTCTCATCAGCTTTACTAGCAAATGGTCATTGCAATGCGTCACTGGTCTGGTTCAAGGCCTCTGGTTTCCGGTACATCATCATCACTGGGTCCTCACCAGAACCCCTCTGGGATATCTTGTGGTCGCCCCAGTCTTGGCGATCTTACGGGTATCGTTTAACATGACCAGTCCCTTCATGAGCTCCGGCAGGACCTGGATGGGGTAGATCCTAGGGTGGGCCAACCCAGGGCCTGCTGTGGGCCTGGATGGTAGGGGAGCTGGTCAGTCCATGCCCTCATGAGGACATTTATAGTTAGATGCAGTTCCTTTTTATTTGCTGGGTTTTTGTCTTGTTGGGGATGGAAGCAGGGTCTCATGCAGCCCAGACGGACTGTGAACTCACCATATAACTGAGGATGACTCCGAGCTGGTGCTCTTCTTGGTTTGGCCTTGAGTTTTGGGATTACAGCTGTATGCCACCACATCTAGCTTTTGTCATTGCGTTTAGTCCTGTAGGAAAATCCAAAACAGCTTCAATTTGGGACCCTGAACTTACTCTCCTCTACAGAGATCCCTTTTCCAAATAGGGTAAGGGCCACAGTTAGGACACAGACAGTTTGGGGACAGAGCAATTCAACCTGCTACAACACTCAAGTGAAGACTCTAAATGTCCACTAAAAGCTACATATCTTAAAAATTATATTAGCAGCTGTCTTTGTAGTGGCCCCAAGCTTGAAAGAACACATCTGTTGATGATAGAATGATTAAGCAAATTGTGATAGATTCATAACATAGAATACTATGCAGTAAGGAAAGGGAACGAATCTGTTACATGCCTCAGCATGGGTGCTTCACCCCTGACACAGCTCCGGGAAGGGCTGGGGGGTGAGGGAAGATGGCTCAGCATGTAAGAGCACGTGCTGCTCAGAGGACTGGGAGTTCGAGTCCCAGCACTCACATGACGTGGCTTACTCCGTGACGAGGCTTACTCACGTGAGAGACTGAGACAAACTTCATTTTAAAGAAAAACTGCATTTCTAGTAGTAATAGAATAGAAGCTGAAATAAGTTTCAGTAAAACTTAAAATAGCCTTCAAAATAGCTCTTAGGGAAATGCAAATTACCAGTAGGACCCTGGTCAAGGCGACCCCACCAGGGTGGGAAGGCTGCTGGTCAAGAAGTAGTTATGATAAACAATATCTACTGGGCTCAAATGTCCTTGGACAATGTCTGGGAACACTCCAAACATCCTTCGAGAGCCGTTGTTGATGAAAAAATTCTCCTGCACCCAGCCAGTCACCTAACCTTGTAATGCCAAAGCTCGTACTTCCCCAGCTTGGGTTTTTTCCTTTAAAAACCCCTCACCCTGAGAGCCCAGGGCCGTCCTCCTTCACCTGGCTAGCCAGTGTGTTGGACGAGGACCAAGCCTGGGCTTGTAATAAACCCCTTTGTGCTTGCATCGCATATCGGCTCTGAGGTGGTCTTGTTTGGGGGCCTCGAGAGACATGGGCATTACATGATGTGGCTTACTCCATGACATGGCTTACTCTGTGACGTGGCTTACTCCGTGACGTGGCTTACTCCATGACGTGGCTTACTC